ATTGTGGGCATTCCTAGCAAAGCCACCATTTAATTGTCCAAGTATATATTTTGATATGGTGAGCTGGTCTTTGGTACAGTGGTATAATTTCAAAGTTTGTCAATGATACATAGTGTGATTACAATAAAAAGTGACGAGGAATGTAGCTGACTCTAGCGGCCATAGATAGACTGTTGACTTGAATACTTATGTCAGATAACATTAAACGCTGAGAATTGAGGTTTTGGAAGGGAAAAGGGCAGGAGACATCATAAATGGTGCAATTTTAAGTGGGACTTTAATGGGGAGATCTGGGCCAAGTAAAAACAAAAGGGTGGTGATGTCTGTGAGTGTGAAATAAATAATGGAGCGCGTAACAAAATGTGACTGCTGTAGGAGGATACTTGAAGTTATGCCATTAAAGGTGCTTTGTACTTGCTTGTCTGTCCTCTGTATTGTTGATGTATGCATGTTATCTGATCTGGTTCATGTACACAAAAATGTGAAGGCAAGTTGATTTTCTTGAAAGCACACTTACACAGGGTCCTGGACTTCCTAAATAAAAGCATAGAAAGTTGCAGTAAATCTTAAATTATGCTGAAATATTGTATCCAGTTTGGATCACTAAACCTTTGGAAGGATTTCAGGTGTCAAAGATTGTCTGGCAGAAGTTCGTGCATGTGACTGTCAGTTTGTGGAGTGGTGCTGTAGTATTTCTCAGGGAGGGAATATAAAAGTCAGCAGACTGGGCTATGTTTATGCAACCCTCTGGTTGTTACAGCTGTCTTTTTTTGAGTCTATCCATCACTACAGACTCAAAAAAATGTTAAGTCTCTCTCTTTCACTTGTTAAAATCTACCTGTTTGATGAATATTTGAAGATCACATGACCTACTATTTACTTGTGTTTCTGTGTCAAGTTTTGTTTGATGCTTTCTGGGATGTCTTCTACATTTAAATATATATAAATGCAAACTGTTGCTATACAGTCATGTGCATTAGTAATCTCAGTACATCTGGACATAAATATGTGCATGTGAAAATATTTAGCACACAATGGACTTCAATTTTAATGTATTATAACGTCTCTTTTTCATATTTGATAAATTAATGTGTGTTCACTGTGGATGATTTTATCTGGTACTGATCTCCGATTTGCTATTCAACTGTGCTGACATGAAATGTTCCATGCCTAAAGCTAGATCATTACTGAGAGTGTGCAGAGTTGATGTGAACTGTGGAAATTCACAGCAGCACATTGAGCATTGATGCTAAGAGCTGTAATTGACAGTTGTTGAGATGGTGCCTGTTGAGGCTGGCACATTTTTTTGAAGATTTGGGAAAAATAGTTGTCAGTTTACCATATTAAGAGTCCTAATAAAGTTAAAAAGTGTTGTATTCCTTATGCAAGTGTATTGAACCTATAAATAAGGTTTGATAATTAACTGGAACAATAGTTGTTGGAATTCATTCTACATTAGCTGATAGCAAGCTTCTTAAAAGGCAGAAAAGAGTGATCTTTTGGTGTGTGTAACTGACAACTCTACAATTGAACCACTGTTAGAAATGCATTTGTTACAGAATTCAGTGTGCAGACAACACCTGGTTGATTTCTTTCCCAGAAGGAATCGAACATCTGGTGTATCGAAGTTTATTTTTAAAATCAAAATGTTATGTACAATATGTATTGCCATGTAAGATATTTAGGGAACTAAGTCTCTGAATATTCTCCTGGTTCATACAAATGGTTATTTGAAATTGTTGTACCGAATAGATTTTACATTTTTAAGACTCAATAGTTTTTCATTAATTACATTTTAATAAACCTGTAGGAATTTTTCAGTTCTGCAGCAGCTGTAACCATTTATGGTTGTTCTTGATCCATTATATTTATCCATTCTTGGAGAGAATTAATCAAAAAAGAGGCTAACTGTTCGGGACAGAAGGATTTGCATTTGTAAAACACTTATTGCGACCGTTGGACGTCTCAAAGCACTTTACTGCTATTAGACTACCTTTTGGAGTGCACTTGCTATGTAATGTAGAAAACACTATAGCTACTATGTGCTGAACAAGTTCTGACAGACTACAATATGATAATGATCAGATTTCTTTTTATGATGTTTATTGTAGGCTAAATATTGGCCAGGACACAAGTGATAGCTTCCCTGCTCTCGTTTGAAGTGTGCCCTTTGGCTCTTTTACATCCAGCTTACATCCAACAGGTCCATGGAGCCTCTTTTTAACACCTTACCTGAAAAATGGTATCTTGTGCAGCACAGAGCTCCCTTCTGTGTTAGCTTTTATTTTGTGCTGCATCTCTGAAGTGTGATTTAAAGTGGTCACTTTTCAGAGGCGAGAATGTACCAATTGTGCCATAGCTGGCACCATGTGTAGATCTGAGAGTCTTGAGCAATGATAATTGAAGCTATTGCACAAATATTCAGTGGCAAGGGGAAAAATGATATAGGAACAGGAGTAGGCCATTCGGCCCCTCAAGCCTGTTCCACCATTCAAAGAGATCATGGCTGATTTGTGTCCTAATTTCTTATACCTGCCTTTGGCCTATATCCCTTAAAATCTTTACTTAACAAAAATTTATCTAGCTTGGATTTAAAATGAACAACTAAACTGGCATCCACTGCCATTATTGAAAGAGAGTTCCAAACATCTGTCACTCCTTTTTGTAAAGAAATGTTTCCCGACATCTCTGCTGAATGGTCTGGCCCTAACTTTTTTACTACGTTACCTTCTTCTAGAGCCAACGGAAATAATTTTTCTTTACCTACCCTGTCTTTTCTGTTCATATTTTAAAATGATTATCTGTGATTGTTTGAACAGAAAATACTAGAATTATTCAGCAGATCAGGAAGATCCAGGGAGAAGGAAGCAGAATTAATGTTCAGATTGATGACTGTGTTTGTCAAAATGAAAAAGATTGTGAAACGTGTTTGAGCACGTACTGACTCTTCTCAAAGTCATTTAGGAATAGGGAGTAAAGGTTGGCAACAGAAGCAGAAATTACTGGAGAAATTCAGCAGATCTGACGGCATCCATGGAGAGAAAATCTGGGGGGGTGGTCACTGGACTTGAAGCATTAAGTCTGCTTTCTCTCCATAGATGCGCCAGACCTGAGTTTCTACATCAATTTCTGTTTGTGTTTCAGATTTCCAGCATTTGCAGTTAATTGTTTAATTTTAGTAATTGTTGTGTTAATAATGACACTTGCATTCCATGAACGAATTATAAGAAATATTACGCAACGGTAGGGGTTGGGGACAGAGGAGATCAACAGGGATGACGCGTGATTGCCAAGAAGCAAGTGTGAGTAAATGAATAATGGATGATGGGACAAGTAAGAAATCAGTGGTGGATTTGAGGAGTTAGTGGTAATCACAGATGCTTTGCCAATACTTTTTGTCTGAAAAACATGGCCATTGAACTTGATTTTTATTTTGTGAATGCAAATCCCTGAAGCCAAGTGATGGCCTCCTCATTTGCTGAATTTAAAATGATTAATCTGCCATTTATTATGCAGAAGGTATGCTGCTCAGTAATTAGTAACATTGTGTCACTCTACATGTGTATAAGGGTTATTAACTAAGCCCCTAACAGTGAGGGCTGGCTGTACAGAGTCTGGGTTTGTCCTGAATTGTTTCTCAAGGACTACTCTCTCACCATGGTAGTTCGCACCTTGTCATACGATAAATGGGCTTAGTCACAAAAAGTCTGTTTGTGACTTCCTGTGTTTCCCATTCCTTGATCCAGATTCTGTGCTGGTAGCTGGTATTGAATATGATGGAGTCTAGAAGGCCACAACATACCTAATCAAATGGTGTCTGGCTTCTATTACAGTTCACTGGAATTGTGTGGAGAATACCACAGTCAGGAAGAAGCTCGGGTTTGCTGTCTGAATGGACATATTCAGCAAAGCGATTGACCAACTTTATCTATTCTTAATGCAGATGAGATCTTAAGGGCAGGTGAGGGTGTGATGGCAGGTGGGACGGGAGAGCATGTGTGGGTAGGTGTGTGAAGCACAGACATATACACACCCTTCTCCGCCTCATACATAACATTGGTAATACAATGATTGCATTGAAAGCATTCTGACTTGGGTCAAAACTTTCAAATTAATGGGTCATTGGAGATTAAGAAGCATCGGTTGTAACATTAAGAAGTGCTGATGTAAGGACGTTTGGGTAAGAGAAATCACTTAATTTAGGGATTGGACGTATGGGAGCAAATTTCAAGAAAAGGAAATGTGTACTGTAAGAATATGGTAAGGGCAAGTTTGGAGTCACACATTTTGTTTTTGGTAGGTGTACCACTGACGCAAGTCAACAGCAAAAACTAGGTAGTGAAGTTGAAACCATTCTTGGTCTGTGGTTACCTCACTACTCATCATAACCAGAAAGGAACTGGAGAGAAACTGAACATCTCTAAAAGGTGTCCACAGAGAACAATAGAACTTTTTCTTATTCATGTTATGTTTGGAATAAATTTACGTTTTATACTGATTTGAAAAAGTACTTGTTTCTTTCAAAGTACTTGGTGACAAGGACCTGTCATACACATGATTACAAGCATCTAGCAGCAGATACTCGGAATAAACCACCACCTGCCAGTTCCTCTCCAAGCCATTCACCATCCTGACTCAGAAATATATTGTTATTCATTCATTGTTCCTGGGTCAAAGATCTGAAGGTTTCCCCCCACAACAGCATTATTGGTCTATCTACAGCAAATGTATTGCAGCCAGTCAAGAAGGCAGGTCACCAAAACCTTCTCAAGGGCGTCTAGGGATAGCCAACAAAGGCTGGCTGAGCCAGTGACAGCCATATCCTGTGAATGAATTTTAAAAAAAAACATACCATATGTCTGCACTTGCCAAATGCTATTATGTTTAATAAGTGATGAAGCAGTTGCAGGATGTTGTGATTAAGTTGAATAATTCTGCTGTTACGTTTTGATTTTAGTGTTTTTACCCACCTCTTACATTTTGTTTTTAATTTTAAACAGGCCAAAACCAAAAATGGCTGCAAATAGCCTTGTGTTGCCCATAGTACTATGGGGCCCCAAAGCTCCTACACATTGCATTTCAACATTACTGGTTATGGATGATTTGGCAACCATTGTTACAGGATGTCATGATGGACAGATTTGTCTTTGGGATCTAACTTCAAAATTGGAGGTCAGTTCTTAATAGTGCAAAGTTTTGTTTCCTGTTCAGAATGTCATATTACAAAGATGATATATTTGGCTCACCAAGCCTATGCAGGAATTTATCTTAATGTGTAGCATTTAATTTAAGTAGACCTAATTTAAGCATATGTGGTTTTCTGTGACATTTCTACAAATAGTAATCGATGACTTCAGTTGACTATCATGGTAGCTTCATTGCTGGTATTTCCCTCTGACAGCCTTTTTGTTTCTGTCTTTTCCTTGATCTTCCATTACGATCTTGTCTACATGCAGCCCTTGTTGCCTTTCCATCACCCTGAATACTTCTCTGCTTTGTCTTTGTGTTTTTCTTTTCCTGTGATGGCTTACAGATGGATGAAAGAATGTACAGTTATTGTGTTTGAGGTGATGATGGTTAGGTAAAATATGGTCCTTTTTAAATGCACAAGATTGTATCTTTGTTTTGCTGCCAATCACTTCACTTTTAAGCCTGTTTCAATGATTCTGTACTTCTATCCAGTGATCAGACCAGAGATTCCACCCTCACAACCTTCTCCTCTCTCAAATCTGTCCATAAATCAACTTTTAAAATTAAAGTATTACTTCAAAAATGTTACAGTTAAGAAATAAACTAGCTCCCTGCCTTTCAGTTTGTCTTTGACAGTTGGCCCTCCCTCTTGTCTTGGTATTAAAAATTAGAATCACAATCTTGTGTTAAATTATTAGCATTTTCCCTTTCCTAGTCAGCAAATGACAGATGAAATAATTAAATGGTATTAAAAGTCTACTTTTTAAATTGGTGCAGCATGAAGTTGGAAAAGACAATTTCCCTCACCTTCTAGCCCTTGTTACTGACTGTCTGCTTTGGCTGAGAGGTTAATAGGGGTAGGTAGGAATGTTGTCATTAGATCAGGCTGGCAAACCTAGTGGTCTACTCTTACTCCTAATCTGTATGCTTGCTTGTATGTTCTTTTCCCTCTTTTTAATAAAATGAAAACAGTAACGACATGTAATGACGTGGACTGCACAGCTAACTCAGTTCCACCTACGGATGATCCCTATTATCAGCTTTTCCTTCTTTCAAGCTTACCATTATCCATCCTTTTTATCCTGAATTGGCTTTCTCTCTCTGGAATCCATATCCACTATTGTGTGTTTCTCATCTCATGATACATACGCGTGCGCATGCACACGCACACACACGTCATCTGCGTGTTTACCACTGTTGCCTACCTACTGCCTGTTCTGAAGAAGGGTCATTGGACCCAAAATGTTAACTCTGCTTTCTCTTGGCATATGCTGCCCGACCTGCTGAATTTCTGCAGCTATGTTTGTTTTTGTTTCAGATTTCTGGCATCCGTAGATCTTTGTTTTATATTGTTGTAGTAATGAATATAATCTATTGTGTAATCAGTGTGCAATCCCAACACATTCATCTTTCTAACATGCATACAGACTCTGAAGAAAAAATCAAAATAAATATTGGTCAAGTTAATTTTGCCAAGGCTTTTTGAAATTTGTTTGAGCTTTTCCAATTGTTTTAAAGTTAATATTATGCAGGGAAAGAGGCAATAATGTAAACCACCTTATTCAATTAGTGCATGCGTCTGAATTTTTTGTGACTGACAAAGAGGTGGTGCCTGGGTCTGTTAAAATTCCATCAGTTTTTGAACATTAAATTGGAGATTGAAAAAGAATGGCACACTGTGTATAGGGCATTTGAGACCCAGGAGAACATTAAAACTAGGCAGTAACTTCAGGCAAATTCAGTTACTCAGTCCAGCACTCAGATCCAGAATATCCTGTCGGAGATGTGACACTCCATCATAAGCAAATCAAAAGCAGTGATGCGCTAGGGTGGTCTCACTCTGCATTAAAAGTATTGCGTGCACTTCCACTTGTATTATAATTTGAAATTGAACTTACCACAGAAAATTAGGGCTTAATTATTTCAGACTGAGTACTGTCCCCCACACCTTCCTCTTACCCACGCTGCACTTCCTACGACCCCCCCCAACCCCAACCACCTGCCTCTCATATTTCCTTTAAACTTTCCCTCTCTCAAATTAAACCTATGCCCCCTAATATTTGACATTTCCACATTGTGGGGGAAAAAAATTCTGACTATCCACCCTATTCATGTCTCTCATAATTTTATATTTTTTATCAAGTCACCCCTCAGCTTTGATGCTCCAGCAAAAACAATCAAGTTTGTCCTGTCTCTCCTTATATCTAACATGTTCCAATCCAGGCAACATCTTGTTAAACCTCTTTTATACCGTCTCCTAGGCCTCCATGTCCTCCCTAGAACAAAAAGGACAGACTCAGATTAAGGGCAGTCCATTTAGGACTGTGAAGAGAAGGAACTTCTTCACTCGAAGGGTGTTGAATCTTTGGATTTTCTTCCTCTTGGGGGGTTGGGGGGAGGGATAAGGGCTGCAAAGGCTTAGTCGTTGAGAATGTCAGAAATCACACAACACCAGGTTATAGTCCAAAAGGTTTATTTGGAATCACAAGCTTTCAGTCCCAAGTCCAAAACTGGCACCTCCACATTATTGTTGAGAATGTACAGGATAGAGATTAATGGATATCTAAATATTGAAAACATCCAAAAGAGATGTGATAGTGCAGAAAAATGTTCTTCAAGTAGAAGATCAACCAGGATCTCATTGATGGAAATGGTTCAAAGAGCTGATGGCCTACTCCTGCTCCAATTTTTTAATGTTCCTATGTTGTTCTTCTCTGTTCTCTCATATTTCTCTCTTACTTGCTCGCTGTCGCTCTCCCCCACCCCCACCTTGTCTCTTCTCATCTCCCACTGACTTCTTCCTCCATTCCTGTTCATTTTGCAAACACTCTTAAAATGTGAAATGATTTAACAGACAATCAGGCAAATTTCCTCATTTATTTCAATTTTTAAGAGCTTAAAAATTACCGGGTGTTTCTATCAGTTTACTAAAATAGTTTTGCTAAACATTATTTAAAAAAGTAAAACGCACCAGAAGGGTAATATAAATGTTGGAAATTTTGAATATTATGTTTTTCTTTAAATCTAGTTATGTGGTTCAGATAACATTTGAAGAACAGGGTGGAAGAGTGGCTAAGAGGTTGTTTTTAGAGTTCATTTACAATGAAACCCAAGTAATAATTCTTAGTTTGGAAAAACAGCTTAAAGTTATTAGAAGTTTAATCTATATTCTTCTATTACTTTACATATTATGAACTTTATCATCAAAAAAATTGACTGTTTAATGGAGTTGATAAATACCCAAAACAAGTCTATATCAAAGAAGAACTTATTGGCTGCTGCAGAAATTGTTCACTAAACAATTTTTTTTTAAATGTTGTATGTATAATTAGATCGTTCCTCGGGCCTTGCTGTTTGGCCACACATCATCCATCACTTGCCTTTCTAAAGCTAATGCCAGCAGTGAAAAGCAGTACATCGTCAGTGCATCTGAAAGTGGGTGAGTAAGGTAGAAGAATGGGAACTGTGGTGTTTTTGGTACATTCTGCATAATAACAATTCCCTTAGGAAATCCTGTCTTTGATCCATTAGTTATTTCAAGTCTTCTTAGTAAATGTATTCAATAATAATTGACAATGAGTAAAGTAATTTAATACTGGAAGTCAAAATGGCTAAGGAAAACACCGCAAACTGGATGTATTTTATTAAAAGGTTTTCAAGATCCTCAAGATTTATATCACGATGGAGAATGATTTGCTTTGAAGGAAAATGTGCAGGTTTTGTGATGGTTTGAAATTTCTAACTGCTGTTAGGTTGAGTACACTTATGCACTTTTTAAATTATGAGGCTAGTGTCATTGTTATTTAATTTTAGAAAGTTCCACTGTTCAGTTAAGACAGCTTCAATAATCTGTTGGTATATGAGCTTCTATTAAAATAAACAGCATGCATAAATTTTAAGACAAAAGACTATTAATACAGTATAATCTTGAATGGGAAAGCAATGTTTTCAGCTTTTATAAGGATAGTATGTTAATTGATGAAGCTTGTGTTCTGAAAGGGCTAGGAACAGCACCATTGTGACACCTATAATCGCTTTTTATGTTGACTTTATTTTGTTTTAAACATAGCCGGTTTTCTAATTGTTGAAGAATTTTTTTTAGCCCTGGAGAGATTAGAGGTGAATATCAAATAAACGTCTGGTGTTCAGGAACTAAATAAGATCTGAAAGTTTAGGATTGTTCCATTCGGAAAAGGGAATCAAAGATAGTGCAATAGAAGTTTTCAAGATTCTAAAGAAAATTGATGAAGCTACTGCAATCAAAATGTTCACATTGCCAAGGTTTCAGACCAGAAAAAAACAGTTTTAAATAATGATACAAAAGTGGCTTGCTTTGATACAAAATTGACTTGGTCATAGTCAGAGGGTAATTGTGGAGGGGTGCTTCTCTGACTGGAGGTCTGTGGCCTCTGGTATTCCACAAGGCTCAGTGCTGGGACCTCTGTTGATTGTAATATATGTAAATAATTTGAATGAAAGTGTAGGTGGTCTGGTTAGTAAGTTCTGGACAACACAATATTTGGTGAAGTTGTGGATAGTGAGGAAGTTTGTCAAAGGATATAGCAGGATCTAGATCCGTCGGAAAGTTGGGCGGAGAAATGGCAGATGGAGTTTAATCTAGACAAATGTGAGGTGATGAATTTTGGGAGGTCAAACGCAAAAAGAAAGTATACAATAAAAGGCAGGGTCCTTAGGAGGTTGAGTTGTAGAAGGATCTTTGGGTAGAAGTCCATTGTTCCCTGAAAGAACACAAGTGGAAAAGATGGTAACGAAGTTTTAAGAAATACTTGCCTTCAACAGTTGGAGCATTGAATAGAAAAGTTGAGAAGTTGTATTGCAGCTGTATAAAACTTTAGTTAGGTCACATTTAGAGCATTGTGTGGAGGACTGGTTGCCACGCTGTAGGAAGTATGTGGAGGCTTTGCAGAGGGTGCAAAAGAGATTTACCAGGATGTTGCCTGGATTAGTGTATTAGCTATAAGGAGAGAATGGACAAACTTGGAATGTTTATATGAACATTGGTGGCTGAGGGGCAACCTGGCATAAAGATATAAAATTATAAGAGGCATGGATAGAGTGGATAGTTGTAGCCTTTTTTGCCAGGATGGAAATGTCAAATATTAGTGGGCACAGGTTTAAGGTGAGAAGGGGAAAGTTTGAAGGAAACACGATGCAAGTTTTTATACAGGTGATGATAGATATCTGCCAGGGGAGGAGGGGAGCAACATTTGAGAGCCATTTAGACAAACACATGAACAGGCATGGAATAGAAGGATATGGACCATATGCAGGCAGATGGAATTAGTTTAGAATAGCCTAGCATCTGTCATTGAGAAAATGCTAAGGAAGAAATAGTAGGATCTTTAGAAAAGCTAAATGCAATCAAATAGAGTTAACATGGCTTTGTGAGAGGGAAATTATTTTTGACAAATTTGCTCATGTTCTTTGAGAGTATAAAATCGACAGTGATAAAAGGGAACTGGGTTATGTAATGCATTTGGATTTCCAGAAGCCATTGTATAGGATGCCTAATAAAAGGATATTACATTGGATAGGAGCTCTCACTATAGGAATATTAGCATGGATTGAGGATTGATTAACATCCAGAAGATAGTCAGAATTAATGGGTCTTTGTCAGATTGGAAAGACATAACTGGTGGACTGGAACAAGGATCACTCCTAGGACTTCAATTATTTTCCACGTATGTTAGGGAATTAGAGGAGGGACAGAGTGTAATGTCTCCAAGTTTGATAAGATATAGGTGGTTGGGCAAGGAGTGATTGAGGACGTAAAGAATCTACAAGGGATATAGACAGGTTGAGTGAGTGGGCAGAAACTTGGCCGATGGAGTTTAATGTCAGAACATACGAGCTCATGCACTTTGGGAAGAATCAATAGCAGTCTATTATTTAAATGGAGAGAGACTCTTAAAAGTGTGCACCACAAAGGGATCTGGGTGTTACTGTACATGAAATATAAACATTAACATGTTGATGCAGCAAAACTGAAGAATGGAAATGAAATTTTGGCCTTTTATTGTTACAGGGTTGGAGTTTAAAAATGGGAAAGTCTTTTTACAAGGGCACAGGGTGTCAGTGAGACTGCAAGTAGAGTACTGGTGTACAGTTTTAGTCCCCATATTTAAAAAATATGTTTAAAATACATTTGTTAGGCTGTTTCTGGGGTGAAGGGATTGATCTATCAAGAACGCTGAAACAGATTACGCCTTTGTTCACTAGAGTTTAGAATGAAAGATGGACTTAATGAAACAAACAAGATTTTTGATGGGGCTTAACAAGGTAGATGTTGAGAAGATGTTCTCATTAGTGGGAGAGTCTTAAACTGGGGTTACAGAATAACGGGACACACATTTAAATCAGATATGCAAAGGAATTTCTTGTCCTGAGAGAAGTGAGGAGACGCTGGATCACTGAAAATATTTAAAGATGAGATAGATTAGTTTTTAAGATGTTGTCATTTGGAGGCCATGCTGCACGAAATCCTCTTGGAAGGAGTGATCACAGTATGGTTGAATTTAGAATACAGATGGAGAGTGTGAAGATAAAATCCAATACCAGGGTCCTATGCTTGAACAAGGGGAACTACAATAGAATGAGGGAGGACTTGGCTAAAGTAGACTGGAAACAAAATTTTATGGTGGGACAGTTGACGAGCAGTGGAGGACTTTCAAAGCAATTTTTCAAAGTGCTCAGCAAAAGTATATTCCAATGAAAAGGAAGGACTGTAAGAAAAGGGGTAATCTGCCATGGGTGTCTAAAGAAATAAGGGAGGCTATCAAATTGAACGAGAAGGCATACAAAGTGGCCAAAAACAGCATGAAACTAGAAGATTGGGAAAACTTTAAAGGTCAACAGAAAGCCACAAAAAGAGCTATAAAGAAAAGCAAGATAGAACATGAGAAAAAGCTAGCACAGAATATAAAGACAGATAGCAAAAGTTTCTATAAATATATAAAACGAAAAAGAGTGGCTAAAGTAAACATTGGCCCTTTAGAGGATGAGAAGGGGAATTTAGTTATGGGATATGATGAAATGGCCGAGGTATTGAACAGGTATTTTGTATCGGTCTTCACAGTGGAGGGCACTAATAACATGCCAGTAATTGACAAAGAGACGAAGGTAGGTGAGGACCTGGAAACAATCATTATTACGGAAGAGGTAGTGTTGGGCAAGCTAATGGAGCTAAGGATTGATAAGTCTCCTGGCCCTGATGGAATGCATCCCAGGATACTAAAAGAGATGGCGGGAGAAATAGCAGGTGCACTGGCGGTAATTTTCCAAAATTTGCTGGACTCTGGGGCAGTCCCAGCAGATTGGAAAACAGCAAATGTGACACTACTGTTTAAAAAAGGAAGTAGTCAAAAGATGGGGAATTATAGACCGGTTAGCTTAACCTCTGTAGTGGGGAAGATGCTTGAGTTTATTATCAAGGAAGAAATAGCAAGGCATCTTGATAGAAATTGTCCCATTGGGCAGATGCAGCATGGGTTCATGAAGAGCAGGTCATGCTTGACAAATCTTTTGGAATTCTATGAAGACATTACGAGCGAGGTGGACAATAGGGACCCAGTGGATGTGGTGTACCTAGATTTCCAAAAGGCCTTCGACAAGGTGCTGCACAAGAGGCTACATCATAAGATAAGGATGCATGGCGTTAAGGGTAAAGTATTAGCATGGATAGAGGATTGGTTGACTAACAGGAAGCAAAGAGTTGGGATAAATGAGTGCTATTCTAGCTGGCAGTCAGTGACTAGTGGTGTGCCTCAGGGATCGGTGTTGGGACCGCAATTATTTACAATTTATATAGATGATTTGGAGTTGGGGACCATGTGTAGGGTGTCAAAGTTTGCAGACAACACTAAGATGAGTGGCAGAGCAAAGTGTGCAGAGGACTGTGAAACTTTGCAGAGGAACATAGATACATTGAGTGAGTGGGCAAAGGTCTGGCAGATGGAATACAATGTAAATAAATGTGAAGTCATACATTTTGGTAGGAGTAATCGTAAAAAGAATTATTACTTGAATGGTAAAAAGTGGCAGCATGCTGCTATGCAGAGGGACCTGGGTGTCCTTGTGCGTGAATCACAGAAGGTAGGTCTGCAGGTACAACAAGTAATTAGGAAGGCAAATGGAATTTTGTCCTTCATTACTAAAGGGATTGAGATTAAAAGCAGAGAGGTTATGTTGCAGCTGTACAAGGTGCTGGTGAGGCCACACCTGGAGTACTGTGCGCAGTTTTGGTCTCCTTACTTGAGAAAGGATGTACTGGCACTGGAGGGGGTGCAAAGGAGGTTCACTAGGTTGATTCCGGAGTTGAGGGAGTTGGCTTATGAGGAGAGACTGAGTAGATTGGGATTATTGTCATTGGAATTCAGAAGATTGAGGGGGGATCTTATAGAAACATATAAAATTATGAAGGGAACAGATAAGATAGAAATAGAGAGGATGTTTCCACTGGCAGGTGAAGCTAGGACAAGAGGGCATAGCCTCAAGATTAAAGGGAACAGATTTCGGACTGAATTGAGAAGGAACTTCTTCACCCAGAGGGTTGTTAATCTATGGAATTCCTTGCCCAGTGAAGTAGTTGACGCTACTTCAGTAAACGTGTTTAAAGATAAGGTAGATTTTTTTTGAACAATAAAGGAATTAAGGGATATGGTGAGAATGCGGGTAAGTGGATCTGTGTCCACGAAAAGATCAGCCATGATCTTATTGAATGGCGGAGCAGGCTTGAAGGGCCGGACGGCCTACTCCTGCTCCTAGTTCTTATGTTCTTATGAAAGAGGAATTGAGGCTGTAGGCAGATCAATCATGATCTTATGGAATGTTGGAGCAGCTTGAGGGGAGCAATGTCGACTCCAGCTCCTCCTCCTTGCAGATGGGGAAGAACATTCAGACTAATTCTGCTCATACATATCTTGAGAATTTAAACCACAGGCCCTTCTAAATCAATTCAGTTGAAACAATTTGCCTACGTAAACAGAATCATCATGTAAATCTTGATCAAATCACCTCTATGTCTGCATTTGAATTCAAGGTTTCCATGTTTGATTTTATCTTGGAAACTAAAATAATTAGCCAAGATTTTTCCCTGTTGATGGATGTTCTGCTTTACATAAGACCTTATGATTAAATATACAGCATCTAAACATATTGCTCATACAAAAATAATTCTTGCAGAGAAATGTGTCTTTGGGATGTGAATGATGGACGATGCATTGAATTTACTAAACTGGCATGCACTCATACTGGCATTCAAGTGAGTATAATGATAATGATGGAACCCAATAAACTTGCTTTGAAAATGTCTTGAATGTGAAGTAGTTGTCTCCTATTTATATATGTTTTGTGTTGCAATGAAACATTATTTGCTCCCTCGATGTAAAATTGGTTGCATTGCTCTAAATTCAGGTCTTGTGTGACTTGGTGTAAATGGTGTAAACTATTCAGGAGCACTGTCTCGCATACAAAAGTTTAACAGCATGGGTATAATTTTAGTGTCATTCATAGTCATACAGCCTGAAAGCAGAAACTCTAGTCCAACTAATTCGTGTTGACCAGATATCCCAATCTGACCTAGTCGCAGCATTTGACTGTATCCCTCTAAACCCTTCCAATTCTCATTCCCACTCAAATGCTTTTTAAACATGATTGTACCAGCCTCCACTACCACCAATGGCCTCTCATTCCATACATGCACCACCTTCTGCATGAAAAAGTTACCCCTCAGGTCCTTTTTAAATCTTTCCCCTCTCAACTTAAACCCATGCCCTCTAGTTTTGGACTTGCCCATCCTTGTGAGGAGAAAAGACCTTGGCTATTCGCCCTATCCATGCCTCTCATGATTTTATAAACCTCAATAAGCTCAGCCCTCAGCTTCCAACTCTCCAGGGAAAAAAAGCCTCAGCCAATGCAGCCTCTCTGTATAGCTCAAACCCTCCAGTCCCGGTAACATCCTTGTATATTTTTCTCCTATAGAACATCCTTCCAATAGAGGGGCAACCAGAATTGTATGTAGTATTCTAAAAGTGGCCTCACCAGTGTCCTGTACAGTTACAACATGACAACCCAACTCCTATACTCAATGTTCTGACCAATAAAGGCAAGTGTGCCAAATGCTGCCTTCACCACCAAATCTACCTGTGATGCCACTTTCAAGAAACTATGCACATGCACCCCTAGATGCCTTTGTTCAGCAATACTCCCCAGGGCCCTATCATTAACTGTATAAGTCCTGCCCTGGTTCGCTTTAGCAAAATGCAATACCTCGCAATTTTCTAAATTATCTCCTTCTGCCACTCCGCGGCCCATTAGTCCACCAGATCAAGGTCCCAAGGCCCTTGTACTCGGAGATCATCTTCTTCACTGTCCACTACACCACCTATTTTTTTTGTCATCTGCAAACTTACTATCCATACCTACTATATTCCATTCAAATTATTAACAAATAAAGACAAAAAACAGTGGACCCAGCACCGATCCTTGTGGCACACCATTGGTCACAGGCCTCCAGTCCAAAAAGCAATCCTTTACCACCACCCTTTGTCTCCTACCTTCAAGCCTATTTTGTATCCAATTGGCTAGATCGCCCTGGATCCCGTATGATCTAACCTTACTAGCCAGTCTATCATGCAGAACCTCGTTGAATGCTTTGCTGAAGTCCATATAGACAACGTCCACCATTCTGCCATCATCATTCTTCTTTGTCAGCTCTTCAAAAAACTCAACCAAGTTAGTGAGACACGATTTCCCATGCACAAAGACATGTTGATTATCCTTACTCAGTCCCTGCCTTTCTAAAGGCATGTAAATCCTGTCTCTCAGAATCCCCTCCAACAACTTAGCCACCAGTGATGTAAGGCTCACTGGTCTGTAGTTACCTGACTGTTCCTTGCAGCTTTTCTTAAATAATGGCACCACATTAAACGATCTCCAGTCTTAAGGCACCTCACCCGTGGTTGTCAGTGATATAAATATCACAGCAAGAGGCCCAGCAACCTCTTCCCCAGCCTCTCACAAAGTTCAGGGAAGCACCTGATCAGGTCCCAGGAATTTAGGAATATCGAGAATGGTAAATCCTGTAATCTTTGAGAAAATTTGAAACTATTAATATTAAATAATTTGCTGGTCTGCATGGAGCTTTGCACATGCATATAAACAAGTACGAATGATATGCAAGTGAGACTTGGAATCATACAGTCATTCTGGTACAGGAGGAGACTATTCAGTTCTTTGTGATACAGAATGCATGTGGATTCATCAGGGATTGACTAGGTTGGCTACATGGGAAATCTGATCTAGATACATTGAAATAGATGATTTTCCTTTCTGGAATGTGGATGTTGCTGATAAGACCAGCATTTGTTGCTCATCCCAAATTGTCCTTGAGCTGAGTGGCTTGCTGAGCAAGTTCAGGGAGGAGTTGACAGCCCGTCTAATTGCTGTGGTCTGAAGTTATCACCAGCAATGTTTTTGTAGAAATTGATAGTTTTGTGACAGAGACTTCCTTTACCCTTCCAGACTGCTGCTCGCACCGCTGTCTTGAGGGTCATTCGGCATGATCAATGAATGCTGGACCAGACAGTGATTCCCATGCCTCCATGCATAAATGAAAGCAGTATGTGGCAAGGCTATGAAGGATTTGAACATAAGAATTTTTAAATCCAGGTGTAAAATTTCACCACCATTGTGTTGCAGAAAAGTGAACCTTTCTTCCTAATAATAATTTGTATGTCCAAACAGTTATATTTTTCAAGACTGATCAATTGATTTTTGTTGGAGGTATGAAGACATGATGGAACAAACACAGATAACTTGAGTTGTGTTTGGCAATATCCAATTGAATGGTGGCTCAGCTTCAAGAATCGACTGGTTTATTTGATACCCATTCTACACATAGCAACATTGACATGAAGGATAAACATTTGATGGAGATGATTCAGTTGTATCCACAGAAATGGGAGGGAACTAAGTGAGGGCCGTTCTGTTGAATGGGGAGAAAAAGAATAAAGAGTTGAAGTGGAGGAAGGTGCCTTGGTCATCAATGTCAAAGACTGCCAAGTATCACAATCTTGCACAAGGTTAAGACTATGGTGGTACAGAAATCTGATTAAAGGGACTTGAACTCAGATTTGGTTGAAAAATGGGCTCTGATTTGGGCGGTGAAATCTTTTGGCTGAGGTTTAGAAAAGAGAGCTCAATATGTAGCATTTAATTTTCCCATTCTAATTATGTATCAAAAAAATAGTTCTATCAGTTCAGTGTTGGAACTCAACGCGAAGGAAGACTGCTATGCTACGGACATTATCCAGAAATCCTTGTAGTCGATGCCGTTAGCCTGGAAGTCCTTTATTCTTTGGTGTCCAAGATTTCTCCTGATTGGATTAGTTCAGTGAGCATTATACGTTCGCTGAGAACGCAAGGTGAGGAATACGTTTTGTTAACATGCTTTGTGTTTTCTTCATATGACTACAAACTGTAATAGAGTTATAGTTGTATGTTTTCTTATTTATTGTAGAGATGCTTTTCAGTCATTTCAAGGAGTAAAAGTCATCTGTTACTTTAATTGTGTGGCAAATATATTGGACTTCTTGGTAGCCTTCTTCAAAAAGGTGTTGGCCATTTAAGCAACTATTGTAAAATGATAGGAGATGTTGTGAAATGAAATTGAAAAGAATACAATCAGGTTTAACATTTTGGGTTTTACTGGTGTTTTCTGAGCATGACTGTGAAGTTAGAATATTTCTTGAGTAGGAAATGCTACATTTTAAAACTTTTCATCAGAAAAAGAGCTAAAGCGATTTGAAACCTTAACTATGAAAGTGAGAAAAGGCTAGCTCTAAAGTTATTTATTTACACGTTTCAATAATTTTCAAATAATTGAGGAAGGAAAGCACAGAGAGAGAAAACAGTTCATTGCAGTAGTGTCTTGGGCCATCCATCTCTTTCCTATAGTGATGGAATTACTCTTCGTCTTCTTCGTCTTCGTCTTTGTCGTCGTCTTCTTCCCGACTCAAAGTAATCTACTTAATTCTCTGAGATGCCATTCTTCCCATTTTCAAGTTGTCCAACGTTGATCTTTCCTCTTCCTTTTTTTCTTAAAGTCGTCCCTCCATAATGTCTCTTAAAGTCTGTTTCTTTTTCAAGTGTGCCTTTTCCTAACTATGTTCATCAAATTTCTTTGTTCATTCACGCTCCACAGCGCTGTATCATTTTAGTTTTTCAATCCAGCACTTCCTTTTCATTTTTCTCCAAACTCATATTTGAAAGATATTTTGCAAGTTAGGTCTCCTTTTCTAGTAAGGTCACAACTACCCAAAATCAATATTAGAAAATCTAGGTAGATTTTTGAGCTTTCTAGTTTGCAACATCTGTTCTTACCAAAGATGGTCTCGGGGTGTTGTGGCAGAGAGGAAGTGACCCTACCTCAAAGCCAGAAGGCCTCCGTTCAACTCTAACCTGCTCCAGTGGTGTATCATAACATCTGAAAAGTTTGTCTACAGATCGATGAAGATAGTTGGCCAGGTTAATAGGGTAGTTAAGAAGGCACATGAGACACTTGTTTTCATCAGATGAGGTGTCGACTGTAAGAGCAGAGAGCTTACGTTGGAACTGTACAGATGTTTGGTTAGGCCACAGCTGGAGCACTGTAATACCGCAATATAGGAAGTATATGATTGCACTGGAGTGGGTGCAAGGAAATTCAGCAGAATGTTACCCGAGATGGAGCATTTCAGCTTTGAAGAGAGGCTGGATAAGCTCAAGTTATTTTCTTTGGAGCGGAGAAGGTGGAAGGAAGACCTGATTTAAGATGTATTAGATTAAGAGGGTGGATAGAAAGTAGCTCTGGGGGCACATTCTAAAATGAAAGGCAGGTGGAGGTTTGGAATGCATTGCCTGGGAGGGTATTTGAAGTGGGAATCCTCAACCTTTAAGTGCTTGGATTAGCACTTGAAGTGTTACAACATTCATGATTCTGGGTCTAGTGCAGGAAAGTGGGTCTAGGGTAGGTAAGACTGTATTTTTGGCAGTATAGACTTAGTGGACTAAGGACCTTTTTCTGTATCGTATGATTCTGTGATTTAAAAACCATCTACCAAGAACGACCTTTCCCATTGCGACCTTGTTTTTATTTTGTTGCTGCACCGTCCATCCACAGATGTTGTTATTCTTCCTAAATATTTGAATTTTTGCCCCATTCTGGTTCGCTTCCTTATACAATTATATGAATATTTCTTGGTGATTTTGAGATATACATGACTTTGGTTTTGACAATATATAAAGACTTTTTTTTATTGTGGACTGAAATGAGAAAAGAATGGTTTTAAAAACTAAGGATGGTTGCGGAATTGCTACTGGTTTGAAAGTAACTAACTTGACAACCATTATAAACATAAATAATTGAGCTGCTTATGAACCAGTAATTGAAGTATAGTTTATAGATGATCTGGAGCTGAAGGGTTGTGTATAGATGGAGCTTTAGTTGATAAAAGAAGCTGACCGGGCTATGGTCGAGTAACCAGTTTCTGATGACAAAGGCCTTCTGGCTGCCAACAATTTTGTGATTGGTTGTCAGGAAACCGAACAGTTTGTTGCTGTGAATAAGATATATAGAGAAGCCTTCATACCACCAGCTTAAGTACACGCTCTCTGTTCTTTGCAGAAAGCTTGAAGAAAACTAATTTATCATTCCTTCAGCAGTTGCTTTAAATGTCACTGTTAATTGATATCAGAGACCTTTTTATAAGTGAATCAGTCACCCTGTGCCTTTTGCAAACCGGTAGAACCATCTGGAGAAGAACAACTAAGTATTCTGACCAGCGCAAAAAATCAGAAGAATCGTCTTAGTAACCTTTGTGAACAGGAACAACTAAACTGCTTTCCACCTGTCCTTAACCCATTTTTTTTGTGTGTGTGTTTATTGATAAGGACATAAGAGTTCTAACTGGTAAAAATATATGTGGAGTCTTCTTAATTGTTTACATTGCAAACTGCAAGCGGGAATAGGCGATTCAGCCCTTCAAGCCCACTCTGCCGTTCAATACAATCATGGTTGATCTAATCTTGGCCTCCACTCCATTTTTCTGCCAGCTCTCCATAGCTTTCAACCAGTTGCTATTTAAAAATCTGTCTACTTCCTCCTTAAATTTATTCAGTGTCCTGATAACCACTGCACTCTGAGGTAGTGAATTCCACAGATGCAACAGTCTTTGAGAGCAATAATTCCTCCTCATCTCTGTTTTAATTCTTCCAACCTTTAACCTATACCTATGACCTCATTCTATATAGCCCCAGAAGGGGGACCATCCACTCCGCAATCACTTTATCTATCCCCGAAACATCTATGTGCCTCAATTAGGTGTCTCATTCTTCTAATCTCCTGAAAGTTGCGAGGTCTAAAATATTCAATCTTGCCTCATAAGATGAGCCTTTCATCTCTGAAATTAATCAAGTAAACCTTCTCTGAACTGACTCCAGTGCAATTGCATCCTTCCTCAAGTAAGGGGACCAAGCCTGTCTGCAGTACTTGAGATACAATGTCACCAATGCCTGAGACAATTGCAACAACAATTCCTTACCTTTTTTATACTCCTTTCCTCAATAATAAATGACAAAATTTCATTTGCCCTCCTTATTATCTGCTCTACCTGCATATGAGCTTTCTGCAAGTCATGCATGAGGATACCTGATCCTTCTGCAATGAAGCATTTTGAACTTTTTCTCCATTTAGATAAGTTGCTTTTTTTATTCTTCTGATCAAAATGGATAAACTCGCACATCCAATCTTTTTGATGTGGATCTCAACACAACCCTCAATGAATGGGCTCTCAGGTGACTTGTGTGAAAGTCAGAACATTGACAACCCTTGGCTTCTTTCTTTTGTTATTTGTAATCTAGTCATTTTCCTGACTTTTTAAAAAAATCTTTGAACAGCTCAGTAATTATTTCTCTTAAATTCATCCTATGTTTTTAATCTCATCTGTAGGTCTTTCACCTATTCTAGCTGCTTTTACAGTTTTTATTTCATTTCTGATTTAAGTTTTTTGAAGAAGTAATGAAGAGGGTTGAGTGCACAGCGGTGGACGTGATCTAAATGGACTTCAATAAGGTGTTCAACAAGATTCCTCATAATAGGCTGCTTAGCAAGGTTAGGTCAGACGGAATACAGTGAGAACTGGCCATTTGGATATAGAACTGCTTCGAAGGTAGAAGACAGAGGGTGGTGGAGGATAGCTTTTCAGACTGGAGGCCTGTGACCAGCGGTGTGCTGCAAAGATTGATGCTGGGTCTACTACTTCTCATCATCTATATAAATGATTTGGGTGTAAACATAAATATGGTTCGTAAGTTTTCAGATGACACCAAAATTGGAGATGTAGTAGACCGTGAAGAAGGTTACCTCAGAGTACAATGGGATCTTGATCAGATGGGCCACTGGGCCAAGGCGTGGCAGATGCAATTTAATTTGGATAAATGTGAGGTGCTGCATTGTGGAAAGACAAATCAGGGTAGGACTTATACACTTAATGGTAAGGTCCTGGGGAGTGTTGCTGAACAAAAAGACCTTGGAGTGCAGGTTCATAATTCCTTGGAAGTGGAGTCCCAGGTAGACACGATAGTGAAGAAGGCTATTGGTATGTTTGCTTTATCGGTCAGTGCATTGTGTACAGGAGTTGGGAGGTCACGTTGAGGCTGTTCAGAACATTGGTTAGGCCATTTTTGGAATACTGTATGCAATTCTGGTCTCCCTGCTATTGGAAGGATGTTGTGAAACTTCAAAGGATTCAGAAAAGATTTACAAGGATGTTGCCAGGGTTGGAGGGTTTGAGCTGTAGGGAAAAGCTGAATAAACTGGGGCTATTTTCCCTGGAGCGTCAGAGGCTGATGGGTGACACTATACAGGTTTATAAAATCATGAGAGGCATGGATAGGGTGAATAGACAAGGTCTTCTTCCTGGTGGAGGGGAGCCAAAAACTGGAGGGCATAGGTTTAAGGTGAGAGGGGAAAGATTTAAAAGGGACCTAAGGGGTAGCTTTTTCATGCAGAGTGTGACGCGTGTATGGAATGAACTGCCAGTGGAAGCGGTGAAGGCTGGTACAATTACAACATGTAGAAGACATCTGGATGGGTATATGAGTAGGAAGGGTTTAGAGGGCTCTGGGCCAAATAATGGCAAATGGGACAAGATTATTTAGAATATTTGTTTGGTATGGACAATTTGGACGACGGCTCTGTTTCCATGCTGTACAGGTCGATGACTCTGCTGCTTAAATCTCGCTGTTTTAGTATTTCTGGCCAAGTGAAGTCCATGTCAACATTTCTCTCTGTACCTACTTCGATCATTTCAGTTGTTTCATATTTTGCAAATAGTTACAAGAGCATAAGACATAGGACCAGAAATTAGGCCACTCAGCCCATCGAGTCTGCTCCGCCATTCAGTCATGGCTGACAAGTTTCTCAACCCCATTCTCCCATTTTTCTCCCCGTAACCCTTGATCCCCTTGACAATCAAGAACGTATCTATCTCCATCTTAACTATACTCAATGACCTGGCCTCCACACCATTCCAAGGCAATGAATTCCAATAATTCATCACTTTTTGGCTGAAGAGGATTGTCCTTATCCCCGTTCTAAAGGGTCTTCCCTTTACTCTAAGGCTGTACCCTGGGTCCTAGTCTCTCTTGCCAATGGGAACATCTTCCTAACATCCACCCCATCCAGGCCATTCAATATTCTGTAAGTTTTAGTTAGATTTCCCCCGTCATCCTTCTAAACTCCATTGAGCATAGACCCAGAGTCCTCAAACGTTCCTCACATGTTAAGCCTTTCATTCCTGGGATCATTCTCGTGAACCTCCTCTGGACCCACTCCAGGGCCAGTGCATCTTTCCTGAGGTATGGGGCCCAAAATCACACTCAATACTCCAAATGTGGTCTGACCAGAGCTTTATAAAAGCATGGATGTACTTTTGAGACTTTATATTCTCATCCTCTTGAAATAAATCCCAAAATTGTATTTGCCTTCCTAACTACCGACTCAACCTGCAAGTTTACCTTGAGAGAATCCTGGACTAGAGCTCCCAAATCTCTTTGCATTTCAGACTTCTGAATTTTCTCCCCATTTAGAAAATAGTCTGTACCTCTATTCTTTCTACCAAAGTGCATGACCTCACACGTTCCCACATTGTATTTCATCTGACACTTCTTTGCCCACACTCCTAACCTGTCAAAGTCTTTCTGCAGTCTCCCCCACCTCCTCAATACTACCTGTCCCTCTACCTAACATTAGAGGGACATCTGCAAACTTAGTCAGAATGCCCTCAGTTCCTTCACCTAGATCATTCATGTATAAAGTGAAAAGTTGTGGTCCCAACACTGATCCTTGTGGAACACCACTTGTCACCGGCTGCCATCCTGAGAAGGACCCTTTCATCCCTACTCTCTGCTTTTTGCCAGACAGCCGATCTTCTATCCATGCTGGTACCTTGCCTCGAACACCATGGTCCCTTAGCTTACTCAGCAGCCTCCTGTGTGGCATTTTATCAAAGGCCTCATGGAAATCCAGAAAGATGACATCCATTGGTTCTCCTCGGTCTAACCTGCTCGATACCTCCTGAAAGAATTCTAACAGATTTGTCACGTATGATCTCCCTTGATGAAACCATGCTGACTTTGCCCTAGTTTAGCATGCACTTCCAAGTATTCAGAAATCTCATCCTCCACAACGGTCTCTAAAATTTTACCAACAATTGAGGTCAAGCTAAGTGGCCTGTAATTTCCCGTCTTTTGCCTTTCTCCCTTCTCAAACAAGGGTGTTACATTTGCGATTTTTCCAGTCCTCTGGGACCCTCCCTGACTCCAGTGATTCCTGAAAGATCACTATCGCCTCCACTATTTCTTCACCTATCTCCTTCAGAACTCTGGGATGTAGTCAATCTGGTCCAGGTGATTCATCCACCTTCAGACCTTCCAATTTTTCTAGTATCTTCTCCTTGGTGGTGGCCACTGTACTCCCCTCTGGCCCCCACCGACTTTTCTGAATTTTTGGGATATTACTTGTGTCTTCCACCATGAAGACTGACGCAAAATTCTTATTCAGTTCCTCGGCCATTTTTGTTCCCCATTACTATTTCTCCAGCGTCATTTTCCAGTAGCCGAATGTCCACTTTTGCCTCTCTTTTTCCCTTTTATATATCTAAAGAAACTCTTGCAATCTTCCTTTTGTATTATTAGCTAGCTTACCCTTATTTTTAATCTTCTCCCTCCTTATTTCTTTTCTCGTTGTCCTTTGTTGGTCTTTGTAGACCTCCAAATCCTCTGGCTTCCCACTGCCCTTCGTCGCATTATATGCTTTTTCTTTTGCTTTTACGTTGTCCTTAACTTCCTTTGTCAGCCATGGTTGCCTCACCTTCCCTTTAGTATGCTTCTTTTTTTCTACGGATGAATTTTTGCTATGTCGACGACGATGTCGTCGTTTCGGGTCCAGTGACCCTTCCTCAGAACTGAAACATCAATTCTGTTTTCTCCCTCACAGATGCTGAGCTTTTCCAGCAACTTTGTTTTTGTTCCTGATTTACAGCATCCGCAGTTCTTTTGGTTTTTATTTTGCTATGTCAGTATGCTTTTACCATTTTTTTTCTTATGAAATGCTTTCTTCACCATCTTTTGCTGTTGATTTGCATCCTGTACACTGCTTGCTACTAATCTCCTTTGCTTTTGCATACATAAGATCCTCGACTGAACTCTGTGTTGATAGATTGTATTTGATTTTGTTTTTGTGTGGTGGTTTTCAGTTGCAACATAAGCACAACAATGAAAGAAGATTATTACACACAAGAAATAAAGATAAAATAGAATAAGCCAAACTATATACATATAATATGTTTGAAGCTTTCAAAATACACAGAAAGTCAAATAACTCTTTTGTTTCTAAGCTATGAGTGTCTCCCAATCAAAAGAAAGAACTCAATACCTGACATGCTAAATGGAAGTCTAATGTACAATTATTTACTTTGTTCGCTTGTAAAATTCTCCTACTGTAAACCAAAATATATTATCATCATAGAATTCCGACAGTGTGGAAACAGGCCCTTCGACCCAACAAGTCCACACTGACCCTTGGAGCATCCCACCCAGACCCATCCCCCTATAACCCACCTAAGCTACATATCCCTGAACACTAAGGACAATTTAGCATGGCCAATCCACCTAGCCTGCACATCTCTGGACTGTGGGAGGAAATCGGAGTACCTGGAGGAAGCCCACGCACACACTGGGAGAATGTATGAACTCCACACAGACAGTCGCCCGAGGGTGGAATTGAACCTGGGTCCCTGGCGTTGTGAGGCAGCAGTGCTAACCACTGAGCCACTGTCAGACCAGGCAGCATCAGAGGAGCAGGAAAGTTGATGTTACGGGTCGGGACCCTTCTTCTGAAGAAAGATCCTGACCCGAAACGTCAACTTTCCTGCTCCTCTGATGCTGCCTGATCTACTGTGTTATCTCTGACTCCAGCATCGGCTGTTCTTACCATGTCTGAGCCTTTGTCAGAATGTGTTTTAAGAGAAAACATCATGGCAACAGAAATACTTACAAGTTAGTCATGAACCCACTTCAGAAAATAATCTGACTTTTTCAGATTCAAACATCAAACTTAAAAAATATTATTAAAATACATATAAATCTTACACCATTCATCACAAATGAAAAGTTGGTTTTGTTCATCCCTGTTAAATATGAAATAAATCACAATTTACATAAATTTACTATAAAGCATTTCCAATCACTTTCCGTGAAGTTGGGTAAATGGACCTTGAGGCATGTGTAAACTTGTAGTAGGGGTAAGCAGGCATCTCATAAGCAGTTGGGTTTATAAGGTGCACAAGGACTGCACGTGGGAGTAATTGATGATGCTTAAGATAAGATCATGTCTCGTTTAGGGAAAAAAAACGTGTTAATGTACCATTGCTATAAGTCTGAAGTCATGCATTTACAAGCCAGATGGGATAGTAACAGCAGGCCTTTGTGATAATCCTATAGTTATGTCATTATCATTGAAACTAGCTTTTTACATTAATTTTCATTTATTAATTGAATTTAAGTTCTGCAGCTGCTGTGATGGAATTTAAACTTTTGCTTCTCATTAGTCGAGGCAACTAGATTACTAGTCCACTAACAAAGCATCTATAATTCTGTTTTCTTAATCATCAAAATTGTTCAGGACTGCTCCTGATTTCTGTAAATAGATAGTACACCTAGAATTACTCTTATTGAATTGGATTAACCTCTCTATTTCAAATATAATCATTTCTGGCCAACTCTGGAAAATATATTCTTTCTGTGGAATGAGTCTTATTGGCGATTGATATTCCATTCTCTGTTTATACTGTGCAGTGGAATTAGAGTACTGGTAGAAATAACAAACTAATTGTGTGTATTTAAAGTTTGTAATGTGTTATGATTTTGAGATTTTATGTTCCTGAATGATAACATTTTCCATTGTCATAGTCCAATAGATCAGCAACACCAAAATATGGCCTTCATAAGGCTGCAAGCTCACCCATTGGATGATTATATTGTTGCTTATGACAGTGTGCCCCTGGAAGTGACATGATGAGTTCTCTTCTGTCTTTTTACTACATAACTGGCTTTAGAGACAGCTCAACAGTTGTAATAGGGTATGATGCAAATCATGGCCACATGCATGATATTTCATTGAACTGTTTGTGGCTGAATGATCATTTTGCTTTTTGAAATTCTTAGAGGACACGGTGATAGCAGTTTCAATGACTGGGATTTTGAAGGTGTGGATTATTACTGCTGAAATCAATCGAATGCAGGTATGATTTTACATATTTGGATAGAGTAGTTTTGTAAGTCAGCAAATTCTGTAATCGTTAATTTCGTGGACAGATTTTCCATGTGTCATGAACTGTAATGTTAATGCAGCCCTAACATTATGATTCCTCCTGGTTTCTGAATACCCAGTAGACTAGAATGGTGAATTTTTGGATCCTAACCCTATCCTTCTTATCTGTAAATATTATTCAGTTTTCAAGTGTGTACACTTTATTTGAGATGTCTTTTGTTCACTGCTTTTATTCTACTTTCTATATCATGTTTTCCCTCTAGTTACCTGCAATGTTACTTGTGATATGACCAAGCAATGCATAGTTCATAATATGTTGCATTTTATGAGAGATTTCGTAGTTCACAGAGGCCTCTTGCCTTGGCTTACATTATGCCCTCAACCTAAATAAGTACTTGTCACCTTTTAATAGGAGAGATACTTATGGTCCATCATGGACTCTGGACTTTTGTTTTGGTTTTTGCATACATGTAACATTACAGGCAGAGAGTTGCAGATTACCACCACCCTCTGGATGAAGAAGTTTCTCCTCGCATCCTTGCCATAAATTAATGCCCCCTGGTGATTGATCCCTCCATCAAGGGAAAAGTTCCTTCCTATCTAGAGCAACTTATCTAATTGTCTGGGATCTCCTTAAAAGCCCTGGCAATGCATTCAACTGAGGCAAGGTCAGGACTAGAAAGCTATCACAGGTGCTAGGTTGAATTCCACAGTTAGGTAAGGTTCATACTTAAAACAGAAATTGCTGGAAAAACTCAGCAGTTTTGGCAGCATCTGTGGGGGAAAAAAAGAAAAGTTAATGTTTCAGGTCCAGTTCTGAAGAAGGGTCACTGGACCAGAAGCGTATACTTTGCTTTCTCTCCGCAGATGCTGCTAGACTAGCAGAGTTTTTCCAGCAATCTTGTTTTATTTGTGATTTCCAGCATCCACGGTTCTTTGAGGTTCAGATTTCTTGAGAATATTGGTGTTGTTGCCCTTTTAGGAGTGTCATCCTAAGAGATCATAAACCAGAACTAGACCCTGATAAAATTATGGGATTACTTTATATGCTTATTATTTCAGCTGAGTTATTAAAGAAAAAAAATTTGTGCTGATAATAATAGATGGTTGAATGCTGCACTTGATTTCGTTTAACTTGGATTGTTGATCATTACACTTCCTTTCTTATAATTGATTACAATACTCTAAATCCAAGTGAGAACAACATGAAGTGCACCAACATGCTTCTTGTACTTTTTCTACTTTATAGGATACCGAGCCAGTATTTGAAGAGGAATCCAAACCCATTTACTGCCTGAACTGCCAAAGCATTTCATTTTGCACATATACACAGCGATGTCTGCTGGTAGTTTGCTGCAAATATTGGCGGGTAAGACATTTTCATGTACCAATTTATGATTTCAATGAAGGAGCAGAAGTTTGAAATCAAATTTTTAAAATGTAAAACTGTAATATTAAAATTTAACAATTCATTCAGATATTACAGCTTTTGCACTTTAATTGTCTTATGCCATTATGTTTTTTTGCCACTTTTTTTTTCAGGTGTTTGATGCTGGAGACTTTTCTCTGCTATGCTCGGTATCCAGCGATAATGACCAGTCTTGGACTGGGGGTGAATTTGTAGATGCTGACAAGGTTGTCGTTTGGACAGAAGATGGGAGTAGCTTCACTTACCAGTTACCACCAAGGTACACTCAAACTTAAAAATGTTGTTTAAATGTTTGTATTTTTTGTTATTGTTTTGCGTCACATGCTTCACACTTCAGGGGCAGAGTGTGTGAATGCAATTCAAGACTGATGTGTACAACTTATTAGGTTGACAGAAAATATTAACATTCCAATTAATGAAATATGTGAATTGATTTGATAAAGCAGAGACAAACTGTGTTTCATGACTTTAAATTCAGTTCTATTTTCAAACAATGCATTAAAGTTTTGGAAGCTCTAATTGCCTGCTTTGATGATAATACATACAATTTTTATGTTTTCTTAAAATAAAAATCAAAATGGTCTAAATTAGCAAGTCAGCTGCACCTGTGCAAAGAAAAACTGTTGTAATGTTTCAGATCTGTGGCCTTTGTTTTTATTTCAGGTTTCTAGCATCTAGAAAATTTGCTTTTATTTTTAGATATTCCTTTGTGTTTGTGTCTGAGAGGAAAGATGGACACAGATTTTTCACATCCAGGAATCTATGATGAAATAGTAAATTCTATGTTTTATGAGATCCCTTCGAAAATCAAATCCTAGTGTTTCTATACATGGACCTCCACTTGGCGTGTGTCTTGTGCCATCTCTGCTGAAACAGTAAAACTCTGCCAGAATCGAAGTACATATATAATGACAAAACTTGAATTCATTTTCCAGTTTTGTGATACTCTGGGTGCCTCCTAGCTAGATCTCCTGCTGGATCAAAGACTTCAATGCTTCTAATTTGAGCAGCACTTCTAATAGTATTGTGGAATTCTAATGATTATAGCCCATTACTGACAAAGTCCAGGACCAAGTCTTCGGTTGTCCTCATTTACAGGTGAAATACAGACTGATCCCACGCCACCATGCTTGGCAATGCAGCTGCACGCTGCTTCCCCATTCCAGTTCTGCTGCATTCCAAATACCTACTTCAAATTTGTGCCTCCTGCATACCGTTTTGTTGTATATTCGCCGCAGTAAAAATGGTAATAGATTAACATTGAATATATTATTCAAACACAATAACTGCTGCCTTTAAGCTGCATGTTGGCTCCGTGGTTAGCACTGCTGCCTCACAGTGCCAGGGGCCTGGGTTCGATTCCACCCTCGGGCAACTGTCTGTCCGTGTGGAGCTTGCACATTCTCTCTTGTGCCTGCGTGGGTTTCCTCCCACAGTCCAACGATGTGCAGCCTAGGTGGATTGGCCATGCTAAATTGCCCATAATGTTCAGGGATGCATAGATTAGGTGGGTTATAGGGGGATGAGTCTGGTTGAGATGCTCCGAGTGTCAGTGTGGATATGTTGGGCTGAAGAGCCTGTTTCCACACTGTCTGGATTCTATGGAACTCTGAAGAATTGGTACAATTCTAGAATACCTTAGAAATAGTGTGAGTTGGTTCAGCTACTAAAAATCAACTACCATCATGTTTGGTTTACTAAGAACAACCACAGGAAGCTTATTTAATGAATTTAGTCTAGTCAGATATTTTTCATTCCATTTGAAGTGTCAAATTAAGGTATTTTTAGCAGGTGAACATTACTGTAGTGACCTGTGCACTCTTTGTTTCTTGAAGTAGTTACTTGACATAATTAGCAGGGTTATTTAAACTAGTTATATCATTCTTATTGTAGTTCTTAGTACCGTATGACATGGAACTAAATCTGGGTAAAGTGTGTAGGAGTATTACATTTGTTCATGTTAATGCATTTTCTTACATTTCTTGTACGGCCACTTTTGGAATATTGCATTCAGTTCTCGTCTCCCTGCCATAGGAAAGATGTTGTTAAACTTAATAGGGTGCAGAAATATTTACAAGGATGTTGCCAGGGTTGGAGGGTTTGAGCTATAGGGAGAGGCTGAATAGACTGCGGTTATTTTCCCTGGAGTGTCAGAGGCTGAGGGCTGACCTTATAGAGGTTTATATAATCATGAGGTGCATGAATAGGCTGAACAGCCAAGATCTTTTTTCCTAGGGTAGGGGAGTCCAAAACTAGAGGGCAGAGGTTTAAGGTTAGAGGGGAAAGACATAAAATGGACCTAAAAAGCAACTTTTTCATGCAGAGGGTGGTGCGTGTATGGAATGAGCTGCCAGAGGAAGTGGTGGAGGCTGGTACAATTACATTATTTTAAAAGACTTCTGGATGGATATATGAGTACGAAGGGTTTAGAGGGATATGGACCAAACACTGGCAAATGGGACTAGATTAATTTAGGATATTTAGTTGGTGTGGGCGAGTTGCACCAATGGGTCTGTTTCGTGCTGTACAACTGTATGACTATTTTGAAATTCCAGTAAGTGTTGCCCTGTTGTTCACTGTGTTATGGTACAGTTTATTGTACAAGCATCTTGCAATATATTGTGATTTTTACGTGAACTTAAAAAAATAACTTTGTACTTTCGTTTCAGCTGTTTACCAGCCAGTGGATCCTTCCGCAGTAATGTTGGCAAAGCCATTGAGAACTCCATTCCTCCTTTACTATTTAAGGTGTTCGACTGGAAAGATAAATCCGTAAGCCATACTTTGTTCAAATATTGGATTTTAGTAAATAGCTTACGTTGATATGTAATTTGTTTTGCTTGATTTTTGGGTGTATTTATTAAAGATATTCATATTAGAAAATGGAAATGTTAATTTCTGGTACTACATTGAACTTCTGGCTATCCACTCTTCATAGGACCCATTGACATTAAATTTTTGCACTGCTGTCATCATTTTCATTGCTCACTTAAAAATCTTCAGCATGAGCTGTGCATCCCATATTGGACTGTGGAAGTAGAAGTCTTTTTGAAATTGACCTGTATCCCTGTGGTCTAAGGTTACAGTGAAACTAGGCTTCCATATTAGAAATTATGCTCGATTTGACTCCAGTCTTGAGTTCAATTGGCTTTAGACCAGCCTCTACTAAATTCTACTCTGATGTATTCTGGGATTTTCCCTTGTAAAGTTTTTAGACTTTTGAAACAATTGCAAAACCATATGTAATCATTAAGAGCAGTATCTTTCAATGACTGGTACTTTTGCAGAATAAAACAATTACTGAATGTTAATTCTAAGTTTTGACTTCAGTTATGTTGATCATCCAGGCGCAGGTTTGATTCCATAAAGTTATTCTAGACAAAGTTGCTCACTTTAACTGGCTAGGCTTTTGCAAAGTTTGCTTTCAGGTAACAAGTCACTCTCAGTATTAAAGTTGCCCCTTTTCATTCTTATTTCAGTTCTACTTGGAGTTGGCAGCATACATTCAATTTTCCTTTAGTTTCATGATGATATATGTTAAAAATCTAGGACTAGTGAAAAATTTTGAAAGGCACAAATTCTTAAGCATGGGCTTGATGTGGTCTTGATCATTGCTGGTGTGTGTGCTTATCACTATCTTAGGAATGTCATTGCTATGTATTCTTTGATGTTCAGTGTCTGAATTCGTTTCCATGGCAGATCTTGTGATCTGGAGTATTTGCCTTCTGATAGATATTTTGCCCGACATGACAAAGGTTCATAATACAGAATTTGTTGTGGCCATTGGCGACTGAAATATGACGTGCACTTTTTGTAAGGTGAGATGAATATTTATTCTGAATTGCGGCACAGATGTGCAAAGACAGCTGGAGTAGACCATATCAATTGCCAAGCCTACCTCACTATTCAATACGGTGGAGGCTGATGGAGGGCTTCAACTTAACTTTCTTGCCTGCTTCGTATATCCCTTAATTCCCTGAGAGACTCGTGATTCCTCAGAAACTGAAATAGGTATCCATATTCAGCAAGAGTTGCATTTAGGCTTGGGCTGATAAATGCCATGTAGCATTCACACTGCACAAGTGACGGGTGGTGAGCCTTACTCGACAGGAAAGTGTCTATCCATATCCTCTTTATATTGAATAACATTGCCTCCATTGGTGAGTGTCCCATTATCAGCATTCTGAGCTTTATCATTGACTAGAAACTGAAATGGATCAATTATGCAAAAACAGCAATGTGGGTGTTCCCACTCCCAGTGGATTTCAGTTCAAAAAAGCAGCTTACCACCACCTTCTCAAGAACCTTACCAAAGATTCACAACTTTTGGGTCAATAATCCTCTCGTCAATTCAGTCTGAGTGATTGACCCCTTATCTTGAGACTGTGTTCTGTGTTGTAGATTGTCCAGAAAGTGGAAACAACCTCTCTGTCTACGCAGTCTAGCCCTTCAGGGTCTTCTATGTTTCACTGAGATCAGCACTTTTTTTTGTTTTAAACTCCTGAGAATATAGGTAGTTTATTCAGCCTCATGATAAGCCAGCTCTCTCATCCAGGGATTGAGTGAACTTGAGATCTAGTATTACAGAGAGCTGAAGAAAAGAATGATTTGCATTTATGTTATGCCTTTTATGTCCCCAGGACACTCCTTAATAGTTTAAGGTCATTTTTGAAGTGCAGTCATTGTGTCCTGGATAATGTTGGTTTGCAGTGATCAAAATCCTACACATGGCAATAATGTGAATGAATGGTTAAAATTACCTTATTCTGCTATTTAAGGAAATTGTACTCTATTTGAGTAAGAAAATCATTTTATCTAAAATCAAGTTAACTTACAATCTCGTATAAATTCCATTTGCCATTAAGGCTGTAATGAATTACATTCTTTCATAAGATACAGTCAAGGCAACTTTGCCAAACTGTGATAAGCGGAGTTGTATTTTCTTGGACAAAACCCTTTATAAGAACCGAAATCAAAACAATTCGAACATGGCTGCTGAGATGCGAAAGGACAATTCTGCATTGCTGTTCGTAGGCACTGTGCATAGACTGCCCTTCCAGGATGATATCTAAAGTGTTCACTAGCTGGATAAAGTCTGGAGTAAAAATATTACTTGTAAATAGTCAACTGGTGAAATACAATTTTGTAGTGTTTAATTGGTGATACACTGCCCATTTATGGAACAATTACAATGTATCATTTTCTTTGAGAATGATATTACTGCAGTCATTTCAATTAACCAGTAGAGGATGCTGTAGGATAATAGGTACCATATATCTTTTATTTTGGAGATTCATATGAATGTTATGATCCTCAGTATTGGTTTTTGCATCTGCTGACTGGTGACTCAGATCTGTAAATAATGTGCAGTGAAACAGAGCAAATTATATGGAGCTAGGTTAAACTGATAGGTTACATTAAACTGCATTTTGTCTTTGTCCGAAACGTGGGACAAACAACAAGCGGTTTCTGAAGGCCAGCACTTTCTAAGATTGTTTTAATCAAGGCAAAGGTATTCAATATGTTTGCATGTTGGGAGGCGACGGCCTGATGGTCTTATCACCGGACTGTTAATCCAGAGAGTCAGATAACGTTCTGAGGCCCGGGTTCGAATCTCGCCACGGCATATGGTGGAATTTGAATTCAATAAAATATCTGAAATTAAGAATCTAATGATGACCATGAATCCATTGTCGATTGTCAGAAAAACCCATCTGGTTCACTAATGCCCTTTAGAGAAGGAAACTGCCATCCTTACCTGGATTGGCCTACATGTGACTCCAGACCCACAACAATATGGTTGACTCTGAACTGCCCTCTGGGCAATAAATGCTGCCTAGCCAGCAATGCCCTCATCCCATAAATTAATAAAAAAAATTTAGATAAAACATTTAACATAACAGCCCCTGTTGAGTCCTTAGATGAACAAGCTACTTTACAGTTTCCTGCTATACAGAGAATGTAGCATGCTGCATTATTCTACTACAGTGTATTTCAGAAATTCCACAATGACTCAAGGAAGAGCAGTTTTTCCCCCCCAACAAATACTACAGAAATAAATTACATGGATGAGCCAGTACACTTTCTCTCCAAAGAGTAGTTCAGTGCAATAAAATCAATATGTATTCAAGTTATTATTTTGAAAATGTGGTTGTATTGGAAATTTGAAGTGAAATTAGATGCACAAAATATCTTTTTCAACATCTAGGCTAATGTTCCGTGTTGGGACTCCATACCAAACTTTTCTGAGAGTTCTGAAGCATTAACATGATACCGTGTATTTTCCTTTCTTAACGGTGGTGGTTACGTTATATATTTTGAGCATTTTTTTAACCTTGTTTCCAAGATTACGGTTAAACAACTTTTTCAATCTTACGTGCATGTTAACTTTGTGAAGATATGCTTGTATTGTGTACATTATGGCATTTATTACTTAGCTCCACTTGTAATAAGGTATCTTAAACTCCCGATGATATGCATTTTATTTTCCCATTTGATATTATGCCTCAATAACTTTCAAATATTTCATTAACTTCTCTTGGCACTTAGTTGAAAAGTAAGAACGTTGGAGCAAGAGGAAGCTATTCAGCCTGTCAAGCCATTTATTCTGACCATCGCTGACCAAATAATTCAATTTTTTTTTTACCCACACTATCCCCCTGACCTTTTACGCCATTGGTAATCAAAAATCTATGAACCTCTACCTTAAATCTGTTCAAAGACTGGGTTTTCACAGCTCTCTGGGTAGAGAATTCCAAAGATTCACCATTATTCACTATTCATTAAATAGTTATACGTTATTTAATAGTTCATTAAAAGCACTGAAGGAGAATTAAACACTGATTAAAATTCATTTTTGTGTGTTAATGATTACTGAGAACATTGTGAAAGTGCGTAGTGTTCTATGGTTATGTTAAAACATACAAATTCAAAGCAGAAATATGCCATTTGTCCCTTTGAGTCTGCTCCACCATTCAGAAAGATGAAACATCATCTGATTATTGGCTGAACTCCATTCCTGCCAACCCTTGACCATCTTTGCCTCCCTTTGCTAGTTAAGGATCTATCTGCCTCCACTTTAAAAACAAAATCATTGACTGTACCTCCAATGCTGTCTGCAGGAGCAGTGTTCCAAAATCGGTCAGCCATCTAAGAGAAAACATTCTCCTCTTCTCCTTCTTAGAAAGAAGTTGCCGTTGTATTTAACCTGTGTAGCTTTTGTCCAAGTCTCTTCCACAAGGGAAACATGCTTTCAGTAGCCCTTTCAGGATCTTCTGTGTCAACATGACCTCTTACTCCATTAGATACAGGCCTGTCAGGTCCAAGCTTTCTTCGTAATTTAAGCCCGTCGTTCTAAGCATCAGTCGAATGATCCTTTTCTAAACTGCTTCTAACATAATTTATATTCCTTTTTAAATAAGGAGAATGAAACTAGACACAGTATTCCAGAGGTTGTCTCAACAATGCCATGTATGACTATTATAAAACATTCCGGCTTTTATATTCCATTCCCCTTGTATTTAAAGTTTCATCAAGCCATTTGTGTATGAACTTTGCAGTGGGCCAATTTGAGAGCTTAGAGAATATCAGGATGCAAAGAGCTCAAAACGCATTGGTGCAACAAATTTATTCATTGAGTAATGTTAGAGTCATAGAAACATAAAATTTTACAGTACAGAAGGAGATGACTGGAACCTTCACATCTTTACCGGCTCCTGAAAGAGCTATCCAGCCATTCCCATTCTCCAGTCCTATGTCTGTTGTCCTTTAAA